TATATATATATATATATACGTAAATTAAAACGTCCTTCCGAAGCGGGCGATGAGATTTCAATTCCGGCTGCCGACAGCTTCTTACGGACGACCCCCAAACAACCATCTTACTTTTTAAGTGCCGACAGTACCATGATTCTGTTTCAGGACAGGGATTGCAATCTCATCAAAAAAGTAGAGAAAAAGGCGGGCAAACCAGCAATATTCTTTACTAGCAATATTCCTCTATGACGCTGAAATTTTACCTCGTGCAGGAAAATACAAATTTACTCTAGTTGGAAAGTTCCAATTAGGTTGGCATAAAATGGAGACTATTAGGAAAGTTTTTGAAGATTTCAAACTAGTTGGGCTTGACAGGTGGGTCATTTCGATAAAATGTTTGTTATGATACAACTGAGTATAGAAGAATATTACACAAGAATTTTTTCAAAGAAATTCATCACAATCGAGGGTAAACATATGAAATTGCTCAAATGGACCCCTAATTTTGATCCCAATCAAGAACCTCCAATTGCACCTATCTTCCAATTGCACCCTGAACTCAAGTTTCAATTTTTTGACCTACCTATCTTATATGCAATTTGGGACTATCCTCTACCTATCTTATATGCAATTCTTATATGCAATTTGGGACTATCCTTGAAAAACCTTTACAGGTAGACTTACTCATAGTTCATTTCTCAAGACCCTCTATTGCAAGGATTTTGATTGAAAAAGATATTACACTACCAGATGTAGAAGAAGTCTGACTTGACTCTGCTTATAATGGTTTTTGACAAAAAATCATTATGGAACAAAAATCTTACTACTGCAAGCACTGCAAGATGTTTGGACACCTGTAGGAGAAATGTTTCATATTGCACCCACAGTTGAGAACCAATAGTCAAAAACAAAAACAAGTTGTTAGCGCACCCCACGTGTCTGAACGCGCTCTCAACAGACCTGATGACAGCCAACCTAAGAAGGGAATCACCACAAGACAGGAGTTGGTGTCTGCCCCTGAAAACCATTCTCCTAACCATACTACAACGGATAATGTTCGGACCGAAAATCAGGATAGCCCCACAGCTCCTATTCAGGAAGCATCAGGTGCAGATGTGACAATTCACACTTAACATACACTGAAACCTATTGCTGTGGCAACGACTGTCTTTCCTTCAACTACGGTTCTAATATTTAATCAGACCAAGAATCACATAAGTCAGTCTTCTGATGAAGAATGACATGTTTACACTTCTCAGCGGAAAAAGAAAGCTGGGGGCACACTCAAACTTGAAAACTTAATGGATGAGACTTTGGTTATTCCAAGCAAAGGCACGACACTTCAAAGTTTGTTATCTGACTCAGCTCCTAAAACAAGAGGAAAAGACAGGACTAAACTGGCTCGTCCCTAGCTACTTGTTTTCAGCATGTTTTAATTTTTTGAGTCTAACTGTATCTTTTTGTTGGGGTATTACTGTACTTTGTATCGAATGGGTAGGGTGTCACTATTGGGTCATCTCATACAAACTTTATGTATCTTTTCTATTTCAATAAAATCAACCCTCGAGCTTTTCTTTAAAAAAAATAATAAAATTAAATCAAAACTGCATTTTATATTTTTCAAAGGGAAATTTTAACGACCGACAGAGGACCTATGAAAATATAACCAAAATGTGTAGAGGCACAATCAATGATGATATAAATAAAACAAATGGTGTAAAATAGAGTTTCCTAACAGTTTCAATACCATTAATTAAAACCTCAAATCCTATGCAATAGTCCAAAAAATTTTCCAATAAATTGCTATCAACAATTTCTTCAAGTGAAAAACCTACATTGCATCCCAAAGCACTACGTGGAAAGATGCATTGAGTAAAAGGTAATCCAAAAAACAAAGCGACCCTATGTGCATTTTAATCATACCATCTAAATAAATTAGAACCGACCAAAATCTGAGATTTATGTGAGGGATGCATCTATTTCAAAACTATAAGGGGGCTTGTTTGTAATTTACTTTAGAAATTAATTTCAAATAAGAACAACCTGGGTAATTTTATCCCATATACATGCATTTGCAAATAACCAGAATATAGGTCAAATATCGTAACTAAATGGAAAACATATATAGCTGAAAACACGAAGTGAAAAAAATGCAGGAAATGTATTCCAACAAATTGCAGTGCAAATAAAACTTATTAAAAAATATAGAAAATTTTAGGAGTGTTGAAATTAAAAAAGATTACCATCTCTTTGTCCACCAATCTATCGAACGAATCGATGATGTGACAAGCATATCCAAAATGAAACAAAGAAAATTTATTTAGTCAGCAAACAGAAAAACAAAAGGATAAATACAATAATAATTCTAGCTGTAATAAGGAGACTCAAGGAGCGCCTAGAAATGCACTATATCCTAAAAAGTAAAGAAACATCAAATACTACGAAGGAAAAGCTAATTAAACTACTTAAATAATTATTAATCACGGTTATGAAGTACATCAACTTATAATAATTGCCAGAAATCCTTAAAAAAGAAAATAAACATCACATACTAAGCAGAAAAAAGCTACACCTGTTCAATATTTGACGAAGATAGTATGCATCCATGTGTTCCACCATGTTAGACATCGTGCTAGATTTCCACCAAAAGTTTACTGCAATTGTCAGATCATGACTATCCACCTGATGGAACCTAATAAAAAGCAACACATGTTCTCATCTCTAGGAAAGAAGCAAGACTTACTATATAAGAAATTACTTAAGAAAAGCTATTAGGACTCAGAATACCCATGAGTTAGATAGCTCCAATGGTGAATTTCTAAACCAACGATTGTTTTGGCAACACATTGTAACAGTTCTCAGCCTGTTCTAAATTATTAACCATTTAAAGTGAGCCAAATAGATGTTTACTACGAACACAATCTTGCCTCTACCATTTAAGTAGTCCTACAACAAAAAGAAACTAGCATAAAATAAACAGAGGTGGTCATTTTTTATAGCAATTAATTGAACTGTTAATTGTAATAGGAGCCTTCCGTCATTTTACTAAAGAAGTAAGTGATAAAATTCAGAAATGCTAAGCTCTTGTTGGCACTTAAATACATCTTAATGTCAAAATTATTCAAAATTTAAGGTTAACTCAAATTAGTGATTAATAGGGTTGTTAATGAACTTAAAATTCTCCTAATTATAAAAAACTAATCATTTGACGTTTATAATTAATTAGATTTTAAATGATTACTAGAGATTGCAATCACTTTACCATGAAAAAAATAAATCATAAGAAGCCTAACTTATTATACCGAACCAGATTGACCAAATCTACCCATTTACTACAGTTTCATCATCTCCATTGAAGACAATCTTAAGGGTCAAAATATGCCACAGGGACTCCACAACTTGCAGTTTATGGAGGTTGGTAAAATCCCACCCCTTGCCATCTCTGACAGTAACACACTGATGTTGAGCACACTCTTTTCATCTGTGGGAATAATACAAATTCTACAAACCAGTCAAGAGAAATTTGTGCCAATATACTCCTTGTGTAATTGCTTTTCCACTACAGGATCTAACATTGCCATTGGATAAATTGACTGACACAGGGCTTGGGGGCCTGGCTGAACCGGCCAGTGGTTCAGCAAGGGAGAGCCTCAGTCCAGCAGGAGGCTGGACCGGCCCTCCCTCCCAATGCCATAGGATGGGAATTCCCTTCCTATTCTATCCTCCTTTTCTATCCCCTTCCTATTCTATCTACTATCATCTATTATATGTATGTTGGTTGCTTGCTTAGAATGCAGTTTTGATTGTTTGCTGATTTCAGAATTCTGTCGCCGGGCGTTTCTCCCTTGCCAGAGCTGTCTTCGACGGAGAGAAGGTACACCAACTGTAACTCGTCCAAGGCGGTGATTATCTCTGCTCTTTCCATCTCTTCCTGTTGTCACCCCGTCCACCTCAACACCCCTGCTTGCCACTAGCTCCCTCCAGCACCGTCCAGACCGGCCGCAACCCCCTCCGGCTCCTTCCAGGGCTGCCGCTCCTTTCTCCAATCCCCTTCCAGCAGGCCAACATCATTCCCTACTCCCTCCAGCGCTGTCGTTCCTTCCTCCAATCCCTTCCAGCAGCCCATTGTCGCCCCCTACTCCCTTCCTCCAGACTGCCACTGTCTCTAACTCCTTCCAAAACTACCACACTTCGCTACCATCCCTTCCAGACCTGCCGCTCTCACCCCTAAGGGGCATTTATATGCTTTGTGTTGTTTTATTCTTATTTTGAGGGAGCGTCATTGTGACTTTTGAATTTTGGGGATAATAATTCAATTTTATTGTGGTTTAGCTAACTCCGGTATCATTGAGTTAGCCATCCCCTCCGCTCGTTCATCCCTTCCCCTCAACATAAATCAATTAAGCCATCACAACAAAAGGGAAGCAAAACAAACTCGATGAAGCACTCCAGAAAATTTGAGATGCCTAAAATCTTGATTAGAATGTAGTGTAGAGTAGCTAATCCATAGTGATCACATAATTGAGCTAATACACACAACTAAACCTAGTCACAAACTAGCATATTATAATGATATATTATACGAACCCAATGTGACTCCTAACAAGCTATTGCGGTCAAAGATGATATGAATAACTGTTTCATGTTTCAATTAGCTTAGCAAGGCCCTAGAAGACTAGAATAGTCCTAACTCGCTCAAAAGGACCATAGCAAGCCCAACCCACTCTTAGTTAGCCCATTTTGATCTAGAGTAATTTATTTAGTTCTCGGTCACCTAATCAAGTCATAATTAGATTTACCTCACATGATCACAATTAATTGAGAAAGCTCAGCGAATTAACAGGTCCCACCATAACGCGGGATCGGCGATCCCATCAAGTTCCCAATTGCGGGAATTGTGAAATCCATTTGTTACACCCGAAACACTATTCCCTTAAATAATCAGCCCAATTTCTTTTCTTTCTGATTTCTTTCATGTTTCTCTATTTATAATTAGATTATTTGTTATTAGAGAACAATTTATATATTGTTAATTTTCTTCATGAGCAGGTCTTTGGCTTTGTTTATGTTATTTAGAGATATCTTCTCCTAGTTCTCTCTATTGCAGAGATGTGTCCTTGGATTTCTTTCAAGCAGTGTGTCTATAACCTTATATGACTGAGATAGTAATCTCTCCCAATTGTTCAAAGGCCAACTTGGTCGTCCAACTTGCAGCAAACTACTGTTCACAACAGGAAAACTACAGTTTTCCGCTTCCGATTCGCTATCATCTCACTGTTCACCCCTGAATTCAGTTTCCATCCACCCTCCCACTCCCGAGACCAATCCTATAACTTCTCCAACACCTTTGTATTCTATCACACCATCTAGGTGCCCTAGACGGTGTCATTTGATGTTCTTCCAAATCAAATTTCCAAAAAAAAAAAATCTACATTATACCAAAACTATTTTTACTGCAACTCCTAGCCCCCCAACCTTACAACAACAACAATCCTTCGTCCTGTTAAGTGGGGTTAACTATAGAAATAATTTTTCTCCATTGTCTCCTATTGAGTATCATATTTTCATTTAACTTTAATAAATTAAGATACTTTTATACAACATGCCCAATTCTTTTTAGGTCTACCTCTGTCTTTCTTAGTCTTTCTTAACATAATAACATAAATCAAATTTAAAACATCTACTCTCCTATCAGGGCCATCAGATGGTCGAAGTTTAACGTGTCCAACCCATCTTAGGCAACTCTTTAATATTGTCTATGACTCGAGCTACTTTCACATATATATTCATTTCACATTTTCCCTCTAAGTGTAAAGCCACTCATCCACCTGAGCATTCTCATCTCAGCAATACTTAATTTTCGCTTTCTTTTACAAACCAACATTTTCCATCATAAAGCATTGCATGTCTCACCACCATCTTATAAAATTTTCCTTTAAATCTAGGCAATACTTTTGTATCACACAATAAGCCCGATGCATTCCTCCACATTAACCATCCAACTTGAACTCTATTAATAACATCCTCATCTATATCACTTTGAACAATAGAACCCTAAATATCTAAAATTTTCACTCATTTTAATGATTTGATCTAATAATACTAAAATTACATTTTATGCATTCAGTTTTAGAACTACAATGAAAGCCTTTTGATTATAAAGTTGACCTCCATAAATCAAGTTTTTCCTGAACTCTCTCTAGTCTTATCTACAAGAAGGATATCATCAGCAAAAAACGTACATTGACGTACATCATCCTGCAAATGTCCAATAAGAACATCCATAACTAAAGCAAAAAAAATATGGGATTAAAGCCGAACCCTAATGTAGTCCACCGAAACTAAGAAAATACTTGATCAATCCTCCTTGTGTTTGAACACAAGTGACAACTCTAGCGTACATATCTTTAATGACTTGAATATAAACAATATCAACATGCTTCTTTTTTAGAACCCTCTAAAGTACTTCTCTTGGAACCTTATCATAAAATTTTTCTAAATCAACAAAAATCATATGTAGATTCTCCATACTCTCTTTGTACTTCTCCAACAAACCTCTCAATAAATATATAGTTTCCATAGTAGAATTGCCCAACATGAATCCAAATAGGTTCTAAGAAATTTTTGTATCATGTCATAACGTATGTTCATTTATTCTCTCTCATAACTTTAATGCATAACGCATTAACTTCATTCCTTTATAATTTGCACTCTTGCGCATATATGAAACAATACTCTTTCTTCACTTATGAGACATTTCTTAAATTTTTAAAAGAATATTAAAAAATTTAGTAAGCAAAGAAACTCTCAAATTGCTTGAACATTTCCTCACTTCAATTAGAATACAATCAATTCCTATTGTTTTTAAAATTGTAAAATTCCACCCCGACACCTACCACTAAAATCTAAGCTCTCGGTCAACCTAGACTTGCAATACTATATCTGCCAAAAATCTGATTGGGAGAAAAGGGTGGCGTGTCACCAAGAAGAAACCCTTGGCGAGGTGTCCAGAAGCTTACCGTGAAGGATATGTAGTGAAAAACCTTTCAGATGTAACAAAGGTTTCTCGCTTTTGAGATGAGACAACCCAGAGAGGTCACCCGTAGTCACAACAATGACTCGTCAGATCAAGGGGAGGAAGGAATCCCTTCCATGCAGAAATTTTCAGTGACGAAGAACCAAGACCCTAGTGATTTAACATGAAAAGATGAGAAGGCAAGATCTTAGAGTAAATATGGATTTATCATATTTCGATGATCACATGGATTTGAACAAGTTCATCGAAGGGCTTCAGACCATGGAATGAGCCTTTGAGTATGAGGAAACTCTACCCGACCGAGGGTCAAAGAAGAATGCTTCCTTATGGAGGGAGAGCTTAAAGTGTATTTCAAAGATAGAAAAAATGGTAAGATCACCACCTAGTTTAAGATGAAAAGAAAAATGCAACTTAAAAATATTTCCCGCATTACAGACATTAAATGTTCTTGAGAATTTATTGCTTACAAAAAGATCTCTTAGTAGATGATTATACATTTGAGTTCGAACAGCTTATGTTGAATTGTGAGTGGTGGAGTTGGAGAACACCATGGCTCAATATCTGGAGGAATTGAGATCATCTATTGACAACATGATATAGTTAGAGTCCTATTGGACATTACAGGATTTCCATACCCTAACCTTGAAGATGGAGAG